CAGATGTACTCTAGGTACTCAGTCCTACCGATGCCGAGTCTGCAGTGGAATCCATCCGCTGAAAAAGTGTCGGCGCATTCTGCGTCTCAGTGCCGAGAAGCGGCTCCGGGCGGTTCTCGTGAACCGGTATTGCTCCAGCTGCCTGCCCCACGAGCACTTCGACGGATCGTGTCCGCGTGGGGATTGCTGTAGGACGTGTGGTCAGGATCACCACTCAATTCTGCACCTCGTGGAGAAGCCGCGGGCTCGGCGCCAGCCACGTCAAGGGGAGCACCGGTCACGGAGCGCGGGAGACAGAATACGGAATGTCTCAGCTGGCGCTCGGCCGTCGTCCGCCAACTCCCGGCGCGGTTCGGTTGCTTCTCGGCGTTCGTCCGCCACTTTCCGGCACTCACAAGCCGATCCACGGCCATCGACTTCCCGGCGCTCGTCGGCAACTCCTCGGCATTTTTCCGCCACTGGCCGTTTTGCGCCGACTGCGCTAGTGCGCATTGACACCGGGACCCGGATCTTCGACCGGGGGCCCTCATCGACCCGTGTACGCATCGCTAGCGGCGTTATTCCATTTGCCCACTACCAGCGTGGGGAACGAAAAAAGTTTCTTCAGCCACCGTGGCTTCCAAGAGCTGAGCGAGGCGGTGCGTGCCCACTTCCAAGGCGTGACATTGGCGGATGAACGGTTCCATCTGCCAGCGACGATCTCCGTTGTCCTGGGCGCGGATATGTACCCGCGTATCATGCAGCCGGGCGTCCTAAAGATCCAGGACGGGCTGCCAGTGGCCCAGAGCAGCGTTTTAAGATGGGTCGTGTCCGGAGCCTGTCACCAGCCGTAACGACGAGGGATCTGTTGCAACCCGAGTGATTGCAAGGGGGACGGGATGTTTAGGTGAGGGGCCATTGCGCAGCCTCTCCGCTGAACTTAAGAGCTCATCCGCGCTGAAGAGCGCACCCGCACCGAAGAGCGTATCCGCGCTCGCCCCTCTATGCACTCTCTCTCTCGTCGGCCGTCGTCGATCGTCCGCTTTGGCTGTAGCGTCTGGCCTACAACAGAGGGTAAGCTTCATAGTTTCAGTTTTGCTGTGTGGCTGTTCTGGGACCTGTTGGGCGCTTTGAGGGTTAGGCTGAATTGAAATTTCCCTTCCAGATCGTAGAGCATCGGCATAGGAGAAGCCGTTGGTGGTGTTTAGTGGACCGAATGAGGACCTCGCAGCTTTGGCGAAGAAGACATCTGGCGTAATTTTTGACGCAATGTACGCATTCTGTGGATTTTGGTTGCGCGTTGCGGTCGCTTGACGCATGCGACTCTTTAACTCCTTGTACACCATACATCCTCTATAGTTTTCCTTATGGTTGCCTCCGAAGTTTCCACATTTCTTCACGGTACTGTCCTTGTTTGTAGTGCAGAAAGCGGAGTTTTGGGCGTCCCCGTAGACTACACAGACAGCCCGAAATGTGCAGTAAGACCTGGTGTGTCCATACTCTTGGCAATTAGTGCATTGCACTGGACCGTTGCGTTTATGTGGCACTTCAACAGTGACCTCCGATGCAAAAGATATTGCAGGTTGTAGATTGGGTGGACTTCGTTCTTCTTCAGCGACCTGCTTTCTGGCTCGAGCTCGACCTTGAAGAGGGGTTGTGGCTTTTTATCTTCATTTAGAATGTTAATAACATTCTTGGCGGCGAAGCCCTTTTCTTTAAGGGCGGTTTTTATTTCCGCGGCGGTAATATCAGGTTTGATTCCCTTTACTTCCACTTACTGCTTTTCAGCTGGTATGTGTAATAGTTTTTCTGAGCACTGTCCCAGATATTTGGGCACGATTCGGAAGTGCTCTTCAGTCTTGGCTTGCACCTTTGTTTTTTGGATGTTCCCCTTGATAAGCGCGAGTCGAAGTGACCAGAGCGGGTGAGCAAACCGTGTTTTCAGCGGTCAGAGCCGGATTGCTCTTAAACGCCAATTTATCCATTGCGGTATCGCGGGTTGAAATGTAAGAGTAGAAGCTGTTATTTTTTCGTTTGCATGCAGTATATAAGTCGGACCGGCCGGGATAGACCGACTATATTCTATGGCAGCCATATAACTGATGGATCGCAAATGGTATAACTATGGTGTTTTTAGAAATATAACTTTGGTGTTTTTAGAGTTTTCGGATTTGGCATGAGTGCTATTTTTGGCAAAGTTATACAACGTACTAATTTTCATAACGATCGGCTAACTATATCTTATAGATGCCATATAACTGAACGATCCGAAATGGTTTTTGATAGAAATACCAACTTTGGTATTTTTGAGACTTGGGACTTTTTTTAGATTTTTTATTACAATAAATTGGGTTATATTATAATATTCTCATAAGGATCGACCAACAATATCAGATTTTTGCGATATGTATCCGGTTTCAACTGCAAAAGTATATCAACTTCGGCTCCGCCCGAAGTTACCTTTCCTTATGTTTAGATTTTTTATTGTAATGAATTGGTTTTATTATGATATTTTCATAAGGATCGGACAACTATATCTGATGTTTGCGATATATATCCGGTTTTAACTGCAAGGGTATATCAACTTCGGCTCCACCCGATGTAAGCTTGCCTTTCTTGTTTTTATTTATCTTTAATTGTAGTATTAAGGAAAAAAAATTAAAAATTATGTTTGGTAAATAAAATTTGAAGGGAGTCCGTCCGTCATTTTGTCATCCGAAACGTCCGTTACTTATTTTTACAATTGTAATAGAATGCAATTCAATATAATAATAAAAGTAAATTATAAAAATAAAAATAAATTATTAAAATAATCAAAAAACTAAAACTTACTTTTTAAAAATGGAAACAACCTCACTCATAAAATTTAACTCTGGACCCCAAGGACAAGGACCGCGCGCTTTCCATCTAGGCTTTTCTCCAAGTGGATTAATTGATACTTAAAGTTGAAGTAAAAATTGAAGTATTGAAGTAAAAGCGAGAATCCATAGCTAAATCCGAGCTGAAGAGTAAAGATAGTAGAAGATATTTCTGATCTCTTTGCTCTCAAACTGGTTCGATGCGAACGTTTCAAACTTTCATCGATCAAAAGATGTTACGTTCTAAAAACATAATTCTTTCTTTTCCTCCCGCATCTGCTAGCCGTTTGTCGTGGAACTCGCTCTCAAATGTTTTTTCTTTTTACAGCGGGTTCCACTACGCGGCCTGCCAATATGCCGTATAACCCGTAATCATAGAAATTTTTACAGCGGGATACACTACGAACTGCGGCAATGTTAAGGTGATTTTAAAATGTTGTATTTTTTTGTGACCCCAACGCTGCGCTGGAACCCGCTGCGCTGGAACTCGCCATAGGAACACTTTTGTTTCTATGAGATGTCCCCTCTGTGTCCTGCTTAATCATTGATAATACTATTGATATTGAGCTGAGATTCCGTTGTAGAATTCTCCAGCAGATATTTCTGTAGAGCGCAATGAAACAGGTGTTTACATTTGAGTCAGAAGCATGGCTGCTTATGGCTGATTAAGCAGATCGACGCAGGCTGGCGTACTTTTTGAAGTCGGTAAATAGTTCGTAAACATTATTAAACCGTGCGATTTGGTCGTCACTCTTGCAAAAAATGCATGGCTGGTACTCTTTGAACTTAGTTTTTGGCCAAATTTAATTATAAATACATAGATGCTTGGTCGAACTTTTTCAATAAACGAATATTTTTAAATACTAAATATTATTCTAAAACAATACATAGATACATTTTCTTTTCATTGTTGACTACAAATTTTAATTAAATTGAATAATTTTTTAATATACGTGTGTACGGGTAGTCGCAATTAGAGTTAGGGATCCACAATTAGGTTCGATTTTGATACGGGCGCTAATTTATTAGATTTAATTTGATACAAAATGATTTGATGTTACGATAAATGAAACCAAAAGATTAAGCTCGGGTGTTATATATCTGATAAGTCAGCCTGTAACCACTTGCCTAATCTTTCTTTTCTACTTTGACACTCGAGAAGCTCGAAAAGTGAGATGATAGAATTAAGATTTAATTACGAATTATACGATTATAGCATCTACAATAGCATCTACACGGGCGTTTTTACAGGGGCGGCGCTATCAACTTCGAAGAACCGCAACAGCCGATATATGGATATGTATGTCTGAAGGCTAGAAGACCGCTAGACGAAGTAAGCACTGGGACGTGGCTCAAGGCGTGATGCTGCGGAGCTACCGAGATATATCGCGAGAGAGCGCTAGATTATGATGGCAGACGCAGGTGGCCCATCGAATTTCACGGAAGCGGGCGACGCGGAAAGATCTGACGGAAAGCGAAAATAGAGGTGCCCAAAAGTCGGTGAAACCGATTGACTTCACGGGTGTTTCTCGATGTCAATAAATTACACAGCCACACAAAAAAAAAATATTTTTTCGGGTCTGGAGGTCAGACCATGTTTACTATATGTTTTCGGGGTCGCTGAATCTAAATCCGAGGTCCAAAAAACCCCAGCACGTCAGGGTTCTAACATAATCTCAAAAAACCACATACAAAATTATACTGGAGTCCGTGGGTCAGACCATGTTTATTATATGTTTTCAGGGTCGCTGAATCCGAATCCGAGGTCTAAAGAACTCCAGAATGTCAGGGTTACGACATAACCTCAAAAACTTGATAAAATTTTTATTTCCGAGTTCTGGGCTCAGATCGTGTTTACCATATGTTTTTGGGGTCGCTCGGAAAATAAAATAAAAAATTTATATAAAAAACTTGTTCTGACCTCCAGACCCGAAAAAATATTTTTTTTTGTGTGGCTGTGTTATCGCCGGTTACATATCGCTGTATGACACGAAAATATGTGTGAATATATAATAAGTGTGAAAATTTTTTTTCAATAGACGCATCATTTTCTTATGTCTATAAACATTTACATTTTTTTTTTCCATTTGATTATAAGTCATATAAAAATAATAATTGCTTTAAAAAGGTAATTAAAAACGATTTTAAAAAAACACTACATACACTTCAACAATAACCGGAAAAGCAGCATCCCGAAGCTCTTCTCTCCAGCTGGGTGGGAGAAGTAATTGAACTTGGGCACGCCCTCCATGTGGCAATGGAATTTCAAACGAACGCTGGGTTGGTAGTGCAAGTTTTTGGAGCCTTTCCGTATAAAAGGGCCGGGTATCGTATAGAATTTTAATAAGGCTATGCGTTTTTTGCATATGCACTCCTGATACCGGCAGACCTGGACCTTGGCATTCTAAAATGTAGAAATCAATTCCATAGCTAGTTGCAGCACCTAATGATGGTGTAATAAACGCATCAAAATGTGAACAATTTGTATAATAGTAACGACTACTCCAAAGGGCCTCTCCTAAATCACATGTTATGCATTGTGGCTGGATTCTAATAATAATAAATATATATAAATAAATTCTAACTTTATTTTTTGGATTCTTACTTTCTCGTATCATCGTTTACAGGATCCTTGACAGAATATAAGTGTCGCTGGCCAGGTTTTTTGTCTTGAGTGGCTAAATAGTAAACAATATGATTTACGGTATCCCAGCACAATATTTTTATCACCTGTGGAAATTTAAATTCATTTAATTGATATACAATTATATTTATGAACCTTATTATATATTTATTATTTATATATTTCAGCCAGGAAGATTTTAGTATTCTATTTTATCAGTGTACTATTTTTTTTCCGAAAAAGTAACATGTTCTGTAACGAACTGTTTTTCTGCTTACCGCTCGCAACAATTTGCCGAGGCTAGCTCACAGAGTTTGTGGGTCTGTTCCACCGAATTTATGGTTTGCCCGACCCCAGAAATAATAAAAATAGCATAGAACTTAATTCAATTCAATTTAATAATTCTTCTTTATTTTCCACTATCATTTTCAATTTTGCTTAAAGGTAACCATTTTTTTACTTAGAGTTTAGACTTATTAACTATATTTACAACTATAATATTCTATTATTTTGTTTATTTAATATTTATTTGTTCATTTTTATTTATATTTAATAAACCAAGAAAATGGTAAAAAACTTGGCTCAAAAAAGGCTTAAGAACTAAGATAAAACTAAGACTGGTACTTTGTGTTTACTAGCGTAATACTAGGAAGGGAAGCACCTGTCAGCACGCGGATGATCGATTAAAAAATGTTGTATATTGAATTTATTTGTTGAATAAGAGATGAGTGCATCGATTATTTCGCCTAGAAAAATGGTAAATTATAAATCATTTTTAAGATTTAATTTTGTGTAATTTGTAATTTATTTGTATGGGTCTTGGCACTACAGCCCCAGATTTCAGATCCATAAAGCATTATGCGTAAAAATATTTGTTTATATATTGTCAGCTTATTGTGATTAGACAGATTTGATCTGCGATTTATAAAAGGGTACAATATTCGGATAGTTCTATTTATTTTGTCAATGGTATGACTTATGTGACCATTGAAAATAAGTTTAATGTCAAAACAATGCCTAGATGCCACATGGAGTTTCCCCATTTAATGTCAATGTTATTTAGTTTACCTTTTTTATTTTCAAAAAAATCGAAATTTTTTTTATTGCTTTATCTTAAAGAACAACTTCTTGAGAACATTTTTTCAAATTTTCATAGAGATTCGAGCAGTTGAAAAAAAGTTACAGCGCTCCTAACCGCGCGCCTCGTCGCGGCCTTGAACTGAACTTAAAACTTTAAACACGAATATCTCGAAATGGTGTTTCTTGAAAAATGACTGCGGTGATATGGATTGGCGGAAAACTACTGAACCGATTTACTTCAAATTTCTTTTCAAATGTTTGTAATTACATTTTTTTGTGCTTGAACGATCGAATTTGTCACGCACAAACTTTTTTTTCGTCGAAGTGAATTTTTATTTACAAGAAATAACCCTAAACTAATTAAATTTTTTTACTTTTATGGTTTAAGTTGACCTAGGGAAGTATCACCGCAAGGCTCTTCAAAAAAAAAGCCTCTAAGGGAAACAGCCACCCCTTAAAAACTATTTAATATTTTTCCACGAAATTTTGCAAAAACATTGTTAATAAAGTGTACTATCAAAAAATTACACATCCGTGTAATTAAATAATTGCTACATACTTAAAAAAAAATCCGAACTTTCCTCTTTTTCTTCGACAAAGAAGGTATATAACCCCTTAAGTTCACTATTTGGCAGAAAACACAGTTTCTGTTTTTTTGGTGAAGAAAATTATTTTCGTTTTTGAGGCATTTTAATTTTCCACTTATAAAAATAAGAACATATTGCACCTAAGGACATTTGCAGTTCGTTTTCTATCGAATTATAAGTAGTGCGAGAAATAAACAGGGCTGTATAGTCGGCAAATATAAGTGTATGACATCTCTGAAATAGGGGGATGTCATAGGTGTAAATGTTATAAAGAACAGGTCCGAGCACAGAGCCCTGTTGGACACCAGCTTTGATTAGTTTTTTATTCGAATTGGTACCATCAAGACTGACGAAAAAGTACCTGTCTGAGAGAAAACTTTGAATACTCTTTGTTAAATATATTGGGCTGTTACAAGTGGTAAACTTATGGATTAGACTATTGTGCCAGACAATATCAAAAGCAGCTTCTATGTCAAGCGTTACCATGCCAACTGACTCTTTTATTAAACTGGGGGTAAAATGGTAATATCTTCCACATGCAGATTGATTTAAATTACAGATTTAAAGTAGATTTCAATAATCTTTCAAAAAATTTTCGTACTGCAGTTGAGGTATTATAATCTGAGAAACTGTCAGTAATGTAATGTTTTAATTTATTGGTCCGGGAGCGTTTCACTCGACGCAGCGAAAATGCTCTTTTAAAGATAAGAGAAGATTGATTCTTGCAAAGAACTGCGTAAGGCAAAAAGGAATGCCTGGGCCAAGTTCTGCACGAACATTCAGCAAACATCAGAGGCCTCCCGACTCCGGAAGGTCCTCGCAACAACTGCACCAAACGTAGGATACATTAAAACCCCGGAAGGTAACTGGACATCGTCCAGCAAAGAAACCCTAGAGGCTCTCACAGAGGCACATTTCTCGGGATGCTCTCTAGAAGAAACAACTCTGTAAACGCAAAAACAGGGGGAGAGCCCCTCCCTCCCTAACCAACTTGAATACCTATTGAGTATACCAACTAATTAAAGCCGGACCCAATCTGAGGTATTGGGTCAGAAAAGCTTTCTCAGCAATTTTCAGAATAGGCATCGTACCCACAATGTGGTTGCGGACGAAAGTCGTATTTATACCCAAGGCGGGAAAACCTTCGCACTGCACCCCTAAGGACTTCAGATCAATAAGCCTGTCGTCCTTCCTTCTCAAGACAATGGAGAGACTAATCAGCCTCCGCATTAATCTTACTATCATGATATCTCGGAATCACAGCATGCGCGTAGGAAGGGCAGAAGAGGCACTCCGCAAGGAGGCGTACTCTCACCCCTACTGTGGAACGTGGCGGTTAATAGCCTACTGCGATCCCTAGAAGGTGGTGGTTGCAAGATTATGCGGATGATGTCGCAATTGCCTTCTCTGGGAAATTTTCCCAGACTCTATGTGACCGCATGGCGGACAAACTTACTTTGGGAGTTTACTAGCCAAGTTCCTAGGGATTACGCTAGACAAGAAACTGGACTCAAAGGCAACCTACGTACCACACCGACTGATGCCCTAGACTTCATACTCGACCTATTACCTGTAGAGATAATGGGGGCCAAGATAGCCACGCTATTGGCAATTAGGCTACGCGAGACGGGCATATGGAAAAGGACCGACTATGGACATACCAAGTTGGACCTACACCACTGCACGCTAATGAGGGCTACAGACTACTGCGTAAATGTTGATGATCCTATCTTAAAATACAAGGTTTCCATTCCAACAAGGGAGGAATGGGCCACACAAATCCCGGGACCAGCCAGTTCCCTCCATATTTACACAGAAGGTTCAAAATTGAATGGCCAGGTGGGAGGCGGTTTCCATTGCGAACGACTGTGTCTAAATGAGTCCTTCAGACTCCCCGACCACTGCAGTATGTTCCAAGCAGAAGTAATAGCTATTGGGGAAGCACTTAGATCCCCAGCACTTACTGGTATTCAAGACACAATCTGTATCTTCTCAGACAGTCAAGCGGCACTCAATGCCCTTAACGGATTCTCATCCAACTCCAGGACAGTAAATGACTGTCGCAGATCTCTTAACGAGATGGCAAAGCAGTGTTACATTCACCTCATATGGGTGCCCGGACATAGGGACCACGAGGGTAATTACGCCGCTGACGAACTAGCAAGAGCAGGAACTACCTACAACTAGAGCAGGAATCCTCTCCTCCCGAAGAAGGAACCAGTAGGTATCCCCCTAGCTACGTGTCGGCTAAAATGCAGGGATCACTTTGACCGCGCATCACTGAGGAAATCTCCAAAACTGCAGGAACTCACGCATGATATGGCCCATCCGCTCTAGGAAGAGATCAATGATGCTTATCGCCCTCAATAGGCAGGACTGTAGTCTGGCAGTCAAGGCCATCACGGACACTGGTTCATAAGAGCACACGCGGCTAGACTAGCGGTGCCACATTATGACTACTGCAGGAGCTGTGGGGATGTAGAAGAGGAAAAGACAGTCGCACACCTTCTGTGTCAATGCCCTGCGCTGGGGCGCAGCCGACTCAAATTCTTGGGCGCAGCAGCACTTACGAACCCAACGGACCTCGCGGAGATCGATCCACCCAGACTCGTAGCCTTCATCCGTAAATCTGGATGGGAACGCGAGCCGCCGCAGGAAAGATAGCAAACTCTTGGGCACATTAGTAAATAGGAGGGGAGAGGTTCCCTTGTAAGACCTCTGCCTGTGCGGTATCACAAGGAGCCCCAGCGGCTCCAGTGGGGCGGGGTGTCAGTCACAGTCAACCTAACCTAACTTAATGTTTTATTTAAAAAACTTCTGCTAAGATGTCTGCTTTTTCTGCTCTTGTGTGGGCAAAACTTGGGATAAACTGTTTTTTGTTCTTACTAATTTTAGTAAGCTTCCAAAATGGTATGGAATTTTTGTCCAATTTGAACAGTTTAAGATTCCATTTTTTATTGTGATGCTCAAATAGTTTCTGGCGAATCATATGGTTGCCTCCCGCCTCAACCTAACCTAACCTAATGTTTTATTTAAAAAACTTCTGCTAAGATGTCTGCTTTTTCTGCTCTTGTGTGGGCAAAACTTGGGATAAACTGTTTTTTGTTCTTACTAATTTTAGTAAGCTTCCAAAATGGTCTGGAATTTTTGTCCAATTTGAACAGTTTAAGATTCCATTTTTTATTGTGATGCTCAAATAGTTTCTGGCGAATCATATCGTTCAAATAGTTCACTCTAGCCTTAAAGATGGGTTGTCTGGTCCTAATCACTTTTTTTTTGTTTTGTGTTTCTATCACTTATTATATTTTTTATTCACTGTGGAATTTTCAAAACTATGGGCCTAACAGGCGCTTCGGGTAAACACTGTTTTATTGCATTATGTATGTCAGCTTGAAGAATATCGACCATTACATCTACTACTTCTTGCCGCTTCAAAATCC